CAAGGATGTTTCAAGCACTAGAGTTCAGCTGAAGAGAGACACTATGTATCTATTTGTATACCTCTTCTGCTTTGAGATCATGTTTCTATCCCTTCCTTTCTTTAGGTATCATCAAGGTTGTTTCACATTTTCTCAACTGAGAAAAGTTGTAAGTTGTGACTATGGGAGTTTTGGTTTTCTGACTAATTGAAATTGTTTCCACAAGCAACTTGCAGAGTTAAAAAAAAAAGGAAAAGAAAAGCTTCTATGCAGGAATGCTGCCTAAAGCCATGTTAATCTTTTCTACCAAACTGCCCCTACTTAGGACTTTAAGACAAGTATAATGATAATTACCAAACAGCAAACTTATCTATCCACTACATGAAAGAGACATGCTGTCAGATAATACCTTTTCTTATATCTTTTGGTGTGATCTTTCTGAATATTAAAACAAAACTTTTCTCAGGCCATTGATCATTGCCAGCATGCAGACTGAAATTGAGATTACAAAAATGGAGAAACTTCAGCAGATTGGAGGTACAAACTCAGCTGGGAAACTGATTTAGAAACAAACCAATTGTACACCTTTGATTTAGGTCATTTATTACCCACAGATATTTGAAGCAATCATACAGATAGTACCTAGTTTAAGAATGAGTTCTGTTCCCAAGATCTGTCCTTAAGTCGAATCTGTATGTAAGCCGGAACAGTATTATTGTATATTAGTAGTATTGCGTAATTAACTTGAACCATTGTATAGTTCACTGTGTATTTAACTCAAATTTTGCTACAACTGGTTTTGTTCTTAACTATGGGTCATCCTTAAACTGGGCATTTTTAACCCAGGGGCTACCTGTACACTGATATGAATAAAAATTCCAATATTCTATTACAGATTAAAGAATCTAGTGAGCTTCTGATGAATTAAGCTCAACATTTAAACTGAAATCCAGCTAATAAGCCTCAACATAGTACACAATTTCATTTGCACAAAGCTAAAGGTTTAGCTTTAATGTGCTTCCTGACCCAAAAGAATGCTATCAAACTGCCCTAGCTGCAGCATCATCTACCATCGCCTTGTCAAACTAGTGATGATTAAATAGTTACTGTAATTCAATTTATATTTAGAGCTTAAAAGCCATAATCTAAGGTAATAGTTTCATTTGCCAAAAAACAAACGAACAAAAACAAAAACCCAACCCTAAAACTGTCATTCAATAGGTTTGATAGCACTTATTTATTAAAACTATTTCAGTTGGGGCAGTTTTATAACACATAGGAACACTAGCACTATAGTTACGGATACATCAACATTATTACAGAAAAACAGAGATTTGTTTTCCAAAGACTATTTCAAAAATGTCATCTAAATCAGTGCTGTTGATAGGAGTTTATATTACTTTACAGAATCACATAACGCCAAAACCAGAAAGAGGTTCATCCAGTCCAATGCCTGTAGCAATGCAAGAAATCCAGGATCCCCAATGTGTCATCCAGCCTTTGCATCTAATAAAGGTCTCAGAAAGTCTGAGGAGCAATCTGCTCCAATGTCAAACAGTTCATACCATTAGACAATTACCCCTAATGTTTATATAAACTCTTTCTTCTGTACTTTGACCATTCCCCTGGAACAACAGTAAACAAATTTGATCTATATCTATAATGTGACACCCTTTCAAATATCTGAAGAGAGTGACAGGATCATTTCTCAGCAGTTCATTATCCAAGTCAAACAAACCCAGCTCCAAATGTTCAGAATGTCATCCTGAAGTCCCCTGCCATGTTATCGTCTTGGACATGTTCCAATATCCTCCTTAAACAATGGAGAAAGATATTGCCAAAGTGGGATGTGCCTGACTAGAATAAGTTTCCTTTAGGATATCAAGCACAGGAGATTGCCTTCTAAATGTCATGTGAACTATATATTGTTCAAGCCAAAAAAACAAAAAAACAAAAAAACAAAACAAAACTCTTAAAGGGGACTGTATGCAGGAAAAACATCATTCCATTCAAGTCTGAAGAGCTGTATGGAATATGGTTTCCAAGGCAACTCACCCAACATGTTAACATATTCACTTTCATCATTAAAGAAAAATGTGAAAGGTAATTGGGTTAATTACTGAAGCAAGAGCCAGCATACTGCCACTAATTGTCCATTTACCTAAGATGTTTAAACACCAGTTCTAATTGGTATCAAGGTAGAATGTATTATAAGCCGTTCATCTAAATGAGTAGCTTACATAAAAGACAAGCACTTGTCTTTTTACATTTTTAGGGAAATCAAGTTTCAATAAAAGAGAATATCTGTAGCTCAGGATTGAACTGTGGAGTCCTTGGTGCTCTCTGGGCTTGGTTGTTTGATTGCAGACGTTCCATTACCCGACTAGGTAACATCATCAGTGCTAGTGAGTGTGGGGTTTGCTCCCTGTTTATATACAGTAGCTTGCCCTGCCAGTGTTGGTGGGGGTGTATGAGTTTGAGTTTAATGCATTGTATAGGTTACTTTGATGACCTTTGTAAAAGAATATCCAGGAAACCACAAAACTACTTTTTCACAAAATTAGCTCAAAACATAATAGGGCTTTTTTAAAGCTGTATACTTACTACTTTGCTATCATAAGTTAATACCAGTGTAATGAATAATTTAAGAGATGAAATCAAGAAAAGAGATAGAAAAATAAAGCAAAAATGCAATTCAAATATTCTAGAAATTCAAAAATCAAAGTAAGCAAAACAAAATATAGTGAGAAGTATGAAGTTGATCAGAACTGAATATAAAGTATTTGCTAAAAGTCCAAATTACTGAACAGAATATAGCTGCAACCTAAGAACGAGATTACATTTTCCCTGGGAGGAAGTTTTATAATTAGGTAAGCATGTCTTATAGCCATTGTCTAGACCTATACTGAGATGGGAAGGACAGTCAGAGCCACAAAGGCCATGCACAGCAGTCCATCTATGCTTAGAGATAAAACTGTGAAGAAGCCAAGTTATCTAAGCAGAGGTCTACTGTGGTCATAATCATCAACAGCCTTGTTATTGTGTTCTGTAGCAATCTTTTCGTATTTGGGGATTTCTCCATCATAATTTGCCCGATAAAGCAAAGTATGGTTTGCCTGTATTAATTCTTGAACTTCTAAAATGTTCTCTTTATAAGCATGCATACTAAAGATAAAAAGACTGCTGATTTCAAAAGCAGTAACAAAAATGGCTACCTATAAAAGGAGCAACAGTATTCAGAATGGGGAGTAAAATCAGATATAAACCGACAAAGCAGAACTGGAAAAGAATCTGCAGTGTTGCCTGGCAGCAAATTATTGCCTCCCAATGAGCTATTTCCACCTACCTCTAAGAATCCCACACAGACAAGGATGCATCTCACTAAAAGCTACAGGCCTCCTCCTTCATCCTCAAGCACTGGCACAGAGGTGCTTAGAATCTGAAAGACTTGTTGTCATACCTGAAGTTCTTTCTAGTGATCAACAAAGATGTCTTCCTCTTTAAACAGGAGGCAGGAAGTTAAAGTTACAATATCTTGGGGGGGGGGCGGTTCTCTAGCAAAAGGCTTAAGGTAGAACTAAGGTATTTGGAGATCTGGGGGGAGAATCTTTCAAAGATTATTTCCTGCATACTGAATGATAATGGCTAATTATTCTCTCTAGAGTTAGACATGCACATACACTGAACTCAGATACTGCATTCATAATTTACAGTAAGGCATGTCCAGCTGATTAAAATAAATATGCACAATCAATATAATAGTACATGTAGCCCCTTCACTTCTCCCTATACAAGCAAATAAACTAATTAGGATGCTTCAATTAAGCTTAGCTTCCCATAACATCCCATCCAGATGTTTCTGCTAATGTTCCTCTTGTAGGATTGGAGAGAATAGTAGAACTTTGGCTACAACATGGGCTAAGTCTAATTTTCAAAACATACCTGATTGAAAAGAACAAGTTCAACATCTAAGGAATAATACAGATTATCCAATACTTTTAACAACACTAAAACAAACGGAATCTGAAAGGGCTCTATCATTCTAAGAAATGTGATTTTCCCAAATAAGACAAAACTTTTCTTTGTTCAAGTACACAAGACATGCAAAATATGAAGTCCTAGGGCCAAAGAGATTATGAAGCCAATAGATTTCAGCCACTGACAATGTCTCCTGATGAAGACTTAATAATATCATATTTTGTCATCATATATAATAATTAAATTGGAGACAATTATTACTGCTCTAAATCTTTGCCAGATCTGATCTGGTACATATATATTCATATAATTCACATTATCAACTACATATTCTCCAACTTACAATAGATTTTTCTCAACTTTCTTACTGGAATGCAATACAGAAAGTGTAATGCGTGTACATACTTGAACATCGTGCTTTTAAAATCCAAGGGCACAAAAACTATTAAATCATCTTCACATCTGGTATTGAACAAAGGTCAACTTAAGTTCCTCAAGTCACCTCTTAAAAAATCTGTCATAAGAAAATTTAATTTCCAGGCAAGGTCCTATTTTATCTGCCTCCTTCCCACTCACTTAGATCTCTACAATTTCCTGCACACCATAAGCAGATGCTGGCAAAATTTGAATATGCACCTATTAGAATCCTAATTGAATCTGAACTGTTCTTATGAAACTTTACAAACCAGAACATGAACAAGGCACCCTATAATTGAATTAGAGGGACCTGGAACAAACTAATCATTAACTTGTCAGAATGTTAATTTTTAAAAAGGAAGGAAGGAACAGGGCCACTTATAAATGGAGGTTTTAAAATATCTGCCCATCCTCTTTTTGGGATTCCATTCTAGAAATCCATCACTTGTACCTCCTTTCAAAGTACAGTACATACAAAAAATGTATCCATGTGGATTAATCACTCACCTTGAAATATATTCTAGTTTGAATAGACATTACAACCACTCCACAGTTTGGTTTTCATATCATGCCTAGTTCAATTATTTCAGTATTACAGTCAAAAATAGGGAAAATATAGTGCTTACCTGCCAAAACTCTATTAACAGACGAGTGAGTGGCCAACCCAGGCTGTCCACGTTCATGGAAAATCCCAGCATAAGGCAAGTACTCAGGTAGCAAGAAGCGCCTAAAAAGGGGAGAAAAACACTGCTAGAAATGCTGTGAACCTGCTAAAGATCTGATTAATAGATAGCCCATTTCTCACATGCATTATTAATTATATAGCTCTTACCTGGGGACAAAGCGTCCAAGGGATGGTGCAGACATACGGGCATTCCGAGGGGCTCGGTGTCTTGACCTATCTCCATTGTCCCTTCAGTGGAGGAAAAAAGGGGACATTTTAATTATTAATTCTTCACTGCAAGGTCAGACTCAGGATTCTTCCCCCTAAACTAATCACAGCAAGCAATACTGAAGTAAAATAATTTGCTTAAAACTTAATTAACTATTAGGCTGTCTTTTCACCTTAACAAAGACCCTCCCTCAAAGGTTTAGGACACAACTTAAAGTAATAAAATCACTAACACAGTATTATATTAAATACACGATTAGAAGCTATTTCTATTGGGATAACCCATCACTGAGATGCACTAATCTTCTTATATCCTCTTTCCTATCACAGAGGTATGATCTACAATTAAGTCTGGGATATAATGTTCCTTTTAGAATAGCATGGGAGGAAAAAAAAAAGAATTCTACAATTCTTAGCTTCTTATTCTGAGTTACTACTTTAATTCTTTTATTCTGATTTTGCATCCTGTTAAATCCCATCAATAAATTTGATAGACGGACAGAACATAGAACAGGTAATTCTGAAACTAAAAGTTACAGAGAGCTAATATGCCCAGAAAAACTGCAGTGTACCTTAAGACAATTCTCAGACTTTTGCAATCCCCTAGATACAAAGATACATACAGAAAAAGTCTAGCTTTGCTAGATTTTATTTGCTATGTAGAAATTTGTAATGAACGGCATGACAAAAGGGTTACACAGAAAGAAGCATTATTTTTTCAGAGTCTAACCCAATTTTAAGAATAGCACCAATACCCCTATTATATGGGGGGTGGGTAGGTGTATGTGTGTATGGTGATGCATGGTGATGGTGGTGGTGGTGGGGTGGTGAGAGAGAAAAAAGGAGAGATGCTTTTCCAAAATAAAATACTAACGCTAAAAAAAATAAAAAATATTCTGAAAACCCTTGTATTAAAATTTGGCTGTTTGCCCATCCAGTACCATATGATACTGATTATATAAAATGCTACTTTGCCCCAATATCATTCTTACGCAGGTAGCCAAAATGTATTGAATTTACAGAAGGAACCAAAAGTATAAACATTCTCTCTCAATTAGATCCACCAGAATCAGAGATTGTCGTTTGTACAAAGCCAGCAAATTTACACAGCCAGCAAAAGTACACAGATCTACAGAGAAAAACAGGCTGCCCCTCATTCTTCACACTCTTTTTCCCTTCAGATCATTAGGTACCAGATCAATAGTACACACTTTAAGACCTCCTGCAAGCAAGATATCTGAAGCATGCATCATGTAGTTTAACATGAATTATATAATCCCCTTTTGTCACTTTGCTTCTTTTTACTTCCTGGTCTCCTCAGATTTTGAGAGAGGGACAAAACTTTACAAAATTCAAAAATACAATTTAAAAATAAATGAACTGCAATACAGAAGGAAAAAACTAAAATAACTTAATTATTCATAGGTCTTGCAGAGTTGATGAGATCTTGCAAACGAAGAGGTAAGAAGTTTAAGAACAAAAGGAAATATATGAATTAATGGGTATGGTAGAAGTAAGAATGGTTTGCAAGAATATAAAGATATGGAGAGGTATACTGAATGGTGTTGATATAAACTAAATTTACTTAGGGTTCCTTTTTCTCTTTTATTTCCTACCTCTAATTTCTTTTTATTCTTCTTCTTTTTGTTTTGCTTTGCATATCCCTGCTTACCCCAAAAAGGAATAGCATGATAGGTATCTGTGTGCATCAAAATGCAAGCACACTTCAAAGCACAAAGGAGCTATTCCAAAACTTCAGTAGTAGATTATTTAAAGAGCACTACTTTATTTCAGTCAAGGTTCATTATTACAGTACTTATTTATTCTTCCATGGGTAAGATACATTTGCAGCAGAGATTCACGTTTCTCTCTGACACTTTGACAACTAGATGTTTTAAATAAAATATAAAATGCTTATTTAAGCCACTCGTCATGCTCTGGGCTAATAAAAAACATACGATTCTTAATAAAAATGGAAAAGGTAAGACTCTTGCAAAAACAGAAGACCCACTAGTGATCATAGTGATCTCCCTTAATCACACATATTTCAATGCCAAGTTAAGTTAGAAGTTATTTTTCAAGTGAGCAGAGCCATAAACAAAGTCAGTTCTTGTATGACTTTACTTCAGAGGCCTAAAGCTAGGATGTATAAAACAAGGCAACTGCAAATTAAAAAAAAAAAAAAATCACAAAACACCCCAACTTCATATTCTTTAGAGCCGTGAGAGGAGGGGAAGGGGAGGAGATTATGTATTTCTGAATGTTATAGGATAGACATTTTGAAAAAGTTATGATGGAATGAAATAATAAGAATGAACCTCCTTTAATCCTGAATAAATCTCTACAGTGACCAACTAGGATGATACCACTGTTTCAGAAAACTATCAGTTGGTATTTCATAAAGGCAACAGTTTTGAGGCAAAACAGTTCCTCCCTTCACATCATCTAGTATTCTGCATTAGTAACTTCTGGTTAAGATTCACATGCAACTATGGAAATCCTATCTCTATTACCTCATCTCCTTTCTCAAATTGTTTCTACAACAGCTGCAAAATAAGTTTGCCTTTGTTCCCAGGAGAATTTACTGAAGAGAGTAGGCTGGTCTGATCCAGCAAAGTATTTATGCTTAGCACAGTGGTTCGAAGATATGAGAAGATCTCACACAAAGAAGTTGGTGTGGCTATATTACCAAACCAAGGTCACTGCGCTCCCTTCAGAAATAAAAACTCAGAAACCTCTTTAGTACACGAAAATGGATTGGCAGTCTTTTCTCCTTTCTTAGCAGAATATACTTGAAACACAGACAGTGAAGAAAGCAGAAGTTATGACTGTAGTGTAAAGAAAATAACACTGCTAGGTTTGAAGTTTTTAAAACACACCTCACAGATTAAAATAACACTTTTTGTTCTTGCAGCTTTCTAGGGAGCTTATTTCAAAATAAATATATCATAGGCTTGTAGTCTATTGGTAGGAACTGTATAAGTGTAAAGTTAAGGGATTATGTATTTTTTTTTATTTCTTAGACCAGGAGTTAGCGAACGTTGACCCACTGCTTCTTTTTGTATGGCCTGCTAGCTAAAAATGGATGGGTGGGTAGCAGATTGCCAGGCCCAAGCCTCAGCTGAACTCCTGAGGCAAGTAGGGCTGAGGACCGGAAGGCAGAGCGTTCTGGGCCGTGGTGGCAGCCTATCAGCAGCCACCTTGCTGGTGAGCAGGTCCTGTCCAGTGGCTGCCATACTTCTTGGCCTTGGACTTGCCAGCTATGTTGTAGGACTGCCAGAGCCTCTGACCTCACCTGGGCCACCACCACTAAAGTATTTACTATCTGGCCCTTCACAGAAAAAGCTTGCCAACCCATGTCTTAGACAACTGATTTAGCAATGACAGAAGCTTAACAGAACATGGTACAATTGCAGTACCTAGGGATTTTTCAAAGAACATGGGAATAGTTACAGGGAGTCCTCCGGTTATGATGACAATTGGACTGGAATTTCTGTTGCTAAGCGATGTAGTTGCAGACCACATCGCTTAGTGACAGCAATCCCGGCAGTCCCTGTTGCTGTTATTAAGCAAGGATTGTGGGTCATTAAGCAAGGACCTTAATGACTGCAACTTGTGACTTCCTGCTGGCTTCCAACAAGCAAAGTCAATGGGGAAGCTGGCAGAAAGTTGCAAGTCCTGGTCACAACAAGCCTTTCCTTAGATGGCTTGCAAGCAGGCTGGCAGGTGAGTGCTACAGAGTATGACTAGGCGGGGAGGTGGATGTTGTGGCCTGGAACGAGCACAGCCAGGTGGGGTGGGGGTGCTGCGGTGCGATGCAAATGAATGCTGTGGAGTGCAGCTGGGCATGCAGGTTGGTGCTGTGGCCGGTGTGAGCACAGCTGGGCAGAGAGTGCTGTGGAGTGCGGATGGGCATGCAAGTGGGTGATGCAGCCCGGTACAAGCACAACCAGGGTGCTACGGCCCGACGCAAGCACAGCCAGGTGTACGCTACAGAGTGTGGGTGGGGGGGTGCTGTGGGCGGGCATGCATTATAGAGTACAAGATCCCCAGAGTTCTCTGTAATGGGGCTCCTCAGAAGAAAAGGTGGTGGGAACAGGAGCAAATTACAGAAGAGACTTGCAACCTTCCCTCCTAGCTTCCCCACTGACTTTGCTTGTGGGAAGCTGGCAGGGAAAGTCACAAATGGTGATCACATGACCATGGGACACTGCAACTGTTGTAAGTGTGAGCCAGTTACCAACCGCCTGAATCGCAATCACATGAGTGCGGGGACACTGCGACAGCCACAACTTCACAGAAAGATCACAAGTCCCCCTCGTTCAGCACCATCGTAACTTTGAACTGTTGCTGAACGAGTGGTTGTAACTAGGACTACCTGTACTGCATAGGGATCTTGGAAACTTTTCTGCCAAAACTGCAGTATCCTAGAAACATAGAAACTGCTCAAACATGAATTGCAAAGTCAGATTAATTAAAACAAGTCAGAAATCAGAGACCTTTGACCAGATTTCTCAAATATACAGTGAAAAACAAATGGTTGAGAAATCCCTATACACAGAGAAGAGGTAGAACAGCAGCAGTTGAATGAAGCTTGATAACTGAAAAAAAGGCAACTTAAAGGTAGTATCATGGAAACAAATAATGAGGAGAAACCTAAAAAGAGGTTAATAGAGGTTAATAAATAATAAATAAAAAGAGGTTAATAAATATTATATATGGAGTATAGAATATCTTTATCCCATAGATATTTACAAAGGCAATATAAAATAATATTGGACAAAAAAATATTGGGTGAGAAGTTCACGAACAGAAGTGGTTTCAATAGAATACCAAAAACTGGATTGTAAATTAGTTACTGCAAAAACCGTGTGGTCAGGGACTTTTCAGATTAAAAGAAAATGTACATGTGAACATTAACTAAATATAGGGGAATACTTTTATTAATTTATTGTTTATTACAATTATCCGTTTGTCTCCTGCTAGCACTGAAATATAACTGAAAAATCATTGCAGCATATGGC